ATATTCAACAATCTTCTCTCTTTCTCCTCTCTCATCCCTCTTTCTTCTCCCTCATTCTACAACGCTTCTGTCTTTACCCTCTATTATATCTCTAATCTATCTCACTGCAGCCACCACATTAAATTTCTTCTAATATAAAGATAAAAATATTATAGCCTTGACATTAATGAAGTTTTAAGTCAAACATTAAGGGACATGAAGTAGAATGTTTTAAGCTAATTCATGGCCTCAAACCTTTTCCCCACAATAGAAAAAAAATAAAATAGTAAGCAAGCATAAACTGAACCAAGCCTCTTGTCCTTCAAGATCAAACATAGAAAAATCAGAAATGAATTCATTTTTTACCTTCACCTTCCATCTCGATTGCCATTTGAATCATTCCAAATGAAGAAAAAACAAGAGAAAAGAAGAAAAAACACAAATCACAAAATAAAAAGACTGGAAAATAGAAAAGTTAGGAGATACCTCATAAGGATTTAGCCTTTATTCAAATCTGGAGAGAATTTGAAAGCCAAAGCAATGGTCGACTTCGAGATTTGATGATGAAGGAGATGGCTTTTTTGTAATTATATTATCTTGAATATCAACAATGGGGAAGGGGAAAAAGTAAAAAAGACAGCGGAGAATTGATCACTCACCAATATCATCTGATGTTAGGGTTTTGTCCATCACCATCATCTTTTAGCAAAGCACAGAGGTTGCAGCGATGAAGAGAAGCGCATGTTCTTGGAAAGGGATTTGATTGCTCATTGAGGCTAAGAGACGAAACTTACTTGGGGGTGAGCTTGAAACTTGGATTTTGATGGAGAGTTGGGGGTGGGGGAGTGGGGGAGTGTCGGAGAGGAGGAGAAAGAGAGGGATTTTGATGAAGATAGAGGAAGGGAAACAGAGAAAGAGGGGGATTTTGATGAAGACGTAGTTTATAATAACAGCAAAAAATGAGGGGGTTGAAAAACAGACGAAATTAAGGTAAGAGAAGAGGCAGGTTAGGGCGGGGTGGTGGATAAACGAAAGAATCAGAGAGGAAGAGGCAGGGGAACGAGGGTTAAGAAACGAAAGAATCAGAAGAGCATGAGGGGGCGGGTGGGTGGAGCGACAGAGGAGAGGACGGTTAAAAATGAATGAATTGGAGATGAAGAGGTGGGGGGTAGTGGGTGGGGGGGGGGGGAGCGGCAGAGGAAAGGGCATATTACTGACAATCCCCTTGGTTCTTAATGTTAATTATTAATATTAAGCACTGATAACCAAAACGTAAAAAGGGCTAAAAAGGGCAAAATAAGAATAAATGGATAGAAATATAGGATAAAATTATAATTAAGAAAATTGATAAGGGCAAAATGGACATGCAAAAGTTGACACTTGTTTTCTCTTTTAGAAGTAGTATAGATATAGATTATTCACATTTTTCTGATGTAAGTTCTCTTTTACTAATCACTCAATTGGCTATATTTAGTTTTTATAATATCAAAGGTTAGAATATTCTCCTTTATTTAAAAAGTGTTGACATGATTTAAAAAATATATATATACACATAATAGCAATAATTTATACTTCAGTTCAACTCAAATATTAGCTTAAAGCTATTTAAAGTGACGTCCTTTCTATGCTAGAATGATGATATGGTGATTATATGGTCTAAAATTCAAGGAAGAAATTTTTACAAAGAAAAAGTAATTTAATATGTCAAATTACGAACTAATTTATAAAATATATGTAGGTAGTGCAGATAACTATAGAAAGTATGGTATATATCTTCATAAAAATTTCATAGTGAGTGACCAACTACAATCATCCTAATTTAAGCATAAATAATTATTATTTTAGTTACTGATTTGATACGCGTAACTATGGAATAAATCTCTAACAAAAAATAGGAATTGACATTGTATTATGCTGTAAATAAATAAATAAATGTTATTAGAGCTTCTCTTTATATTAAATTTAAAAGTAATAATTTAAATTATTAAGCACCAAATATTAGCTCATGTGAGAAAGTATAGTAATCTATGGTCTATATGCGTATATAGTCAATCAATCAAACGTACTTAAATTATGATGATCACATTCAAAATTACATGGTGGATTCACATTAAATATAATTTATAAAAAATAGTATATTAAAGTCAAAATCTTTTTAATCACTATATAGATTGTCTAAAAATTTTTTGCATATATAAACTATACTGGTTAGGAATAGTGATGTGCGCACTTAACTATAGTCTAATAATCTTAAGAACGACTTACTCTTCAATATCATCATTAATTGACGTATCTTTGCATTACACTGAAAACACAATGAAATTTTAGAAAACTATAAAATAAACACCCTCAAAAGTTTTAAAAATTGTAAAAAAACACCTTAAAATTTTGTAATTTACAAATACACAAAACTATTAAACATTACATTGAAATCAACGAATTACAAAAAATCAATAAAAATTTTCAAACTGTGGAGGGGTAATTTGAAATGTACTAAACTTTAAGGGTGTTTTTTGTAAATTTTAACTTTAATAGATTTTTAATTAGTTATGTTCTTTTCAAAAAAGTTATGGGTAATATTTATCATGCAAAATTTTTCCTAAACCTATACAAGGTGTATGATATTTTTATAAAATTTTAATTTTCTAGGGGTTGTTAGTAATTTTGCATATTTATTTTAATGTCTATAGATTAGAAATTCTCATGTTGTTTTTTTTGTAAATGATGAATTTTAGGGGATTTTTATTATTTTTTAAACTTATAGGCCTTTTCTACAGAGTATAAATTGTTTATAGACTATTTATAATTCATATACTGTCAATTTACAAATTATAAATTGTTATAAACTTTATTATAAATTATTAATTTTAGGGGATTTTTATTATTTTTTAAACTTTATTATAAATTGTTTTCTATAAATTATGAATTTTAGGGGATTTTTATTATTTTTTACAAATTTACAAATTTACAAATTATGAATTTTAGGGGATTTTTATTTATTTTTAAACTTTATTATAAATTGTTTTCTATAAATTATAAATTATGTAGGGGATATTTGTAATTCTTATATTTTTAATGTACTATTAAGTTGGAAATTATCAAGATCTTTATAAATTTTATAATTTTAAGGGTTTTATTTTACAATTTGTAAAAAGTTCAGAGTGTGTATTAAAAATTCCATTAATTTTTGGGTGTTGTTTGTGTTATTTGTAGGTTTTTAGTGTGTTTATAGGTTTGAAATTTTCAAGTTGTTTTTTTTATAAATATTGAATTTTTAGGGGTGTTTTTACAATTTCAAAACCTATAAGATATTTTCTCCGAAGTTAAAAAAATTTTAGTTTTTAGCTAGCATATGTTTTTTAAATTTCTCACTGAATTAAAATAAGTAAAATTTATAATTTTTTAAAATGCTTTAATAAAAAAATTTAATTTATAGGGGTGTTTTTGTAATTTAAAAAACTTAGAGAACGTTTTCTACAAAGTCCAAAAACTTTTAAGTGTTGGCTAGCATATGTTTTTTAGATTTCTCTACAAACTGAAATAAGTAAAGGATTTGAATTATATGAAACATATCTCTTTTTATCTAATAACATGTTAAGTCTTATTATGAATAGAATAAATTATTTAGTTACCAATTCAAAGAAGATATGATAATTAGAATAGATTAGGATAACATTGTAATATTAAAAAAAAGCTAAGGATAATATTGATCATAGAGATTTTTCCGATCTCGTAATTTTAAAGGAAGTATGATAAACTAGCCTCAAGTGATAATATAAAAGGAATGGGTTAACAAACAGTTAGAAATTCCTTGTTTCATAGCAGTAGAAAGAAATCCCTTGGAGATACTGGAATACAGGAGGAGATGAAAAGAAGCTAAAAAGTTTAAATTTATTAGTTATTTAATATCGCAGTCCTATTTATATTGAAGATGCTAGCTATATATTATATTCGTATGAAAATAATTAGGTGCCATGAGCCCTCAGTCCATCAAGGAACAGCTTATTTCAGGGCAGGCAGCTATGCAGCTGCCTAGGCGCTTACAGCTTGGCAACCGGTTTTTAAACCCCGCTTTTCATACTCTTTGTTACATCTTGCACATGCTGAAACTACCATGATGAAAGTGATTTTACCGTAGTTGTCTCTACAGAGTTCCAATAAATCCTCATGTTTTAAAATCTTAATATAAACGTGAGACGTACCAAGTTATTTTGTAGAAAGCTAAGAAGATGATAACTATTTACAATTAAATGTGTAGGCAAAGTCTTATAGATTTTGAAAAGTCAGTACAAGATGAATGGTCTAGACAGTTGCTTATGTAGTCTTGAATAGTGGAAACTCATTTTTATTGTATATAAACATATTAGCTTATGCACCTATTCACATTGTTAATGATCTTCAACATGTAGAAAGAAATATATGTTTTCATGATACGTCCTACATAGAGCTCAGTATAAACAATGGTATTTTTTGCCTCAATTGTGAAGTTAAATCTCCTTCACTTCTCCTATTTCTTGCACTTTTCTCACATCTTTTCTTTGAGATTTTATCCGTTTCTGTTCATGTTAAAAATCACCCATTATTTTGAATATTGAAAAATGACATCTAAATCTTGATAGTAATATTACCTAGATAGGAGAATGCCATCACATATTAATAAGATAGTCTTTACACATAAGTTTTTAGTTTTGTATAGTTTTCTTTTCAGGCCTTTGTGGATGTTTTAAACTATTGACAGCTCAATCCGGTCCAAGTCTTGTAAGTAATTTACCTGTATAGGAGGAGACCAGGAATTTTCCTGCGATGTAATATAGCATAGCCACAGTTTAAATATATACAAGTTTTAGCTCTATATAGTTTGTTTTGCTTACAGTATTTATATTGAAGGTTTAGTTTTATATAGTTTGTTTTGCTTATATTGTGCATTGTTTGTGATATAATATAGAGAAAATTTCTGTTCTATATAGTTCAGTTTGCTGATGTCTGCAAGGATGATCTAAGTTGTTCAGTGCTTGATGCAGGTTAATTGAGGGCGTCCTACGCTCAGTAAATAACTTACTTGAAAAGTTCCACCAGTCCTTTTTCCTCTATTTCTTAACTTCTCCTAACAAGTATGTGTCTGTTGGCGTCTATATGATACCATTTGCACTGCTTGTAGCCCCCCTTCCCATTGTTGCTGCAGCTCTATTCTCTGCTGGTAAGAGAAAAGGAGACAATTTGGAAGACACATCAAATGAGGTTGCTGAAGCAGCAAGTGGGTCTGATTCATGGAAATGGATTCATGCTGCAAAAGTAGTATTCATGATTCATCTATGGGCAGGCGTTGTATCTTTACTACCCTATCATATCTCACAAATCTCTGGCATGGACTCCACGGCGAGAATGTCCGTGTGGGTTGCACTTTCCGTCACCATGCTTCTCATCTCTTACAAAATTGTGGGCTCTCCTTACTTGTGTTCCTCTACCGATGGTGATTGGGAGATTCTGAAGGCTGTGACAGTTGCTGTTGCCTCTATAGGTTTGTGTCTCATGTCGATCATTAATTTCGCTACAGCACAGATTGGATCCATGCTTCTTGTTCCGATGTGTCTAATGGTTCGACCTTTTAAGAGAAGGTCTCAGGTGGCTCTGAGTTTGAGATTCATAGTTCTTGCTTTTAACCTAGCATTTGGGTTATTAGGATTTCCGCCTGTTGGGTTGATGATGTGGAAAGGGCTGTTTGAGGGATTTGCAAAGGTTAGCGTTGGAGATTTCTGGGATCAGGCAGAGTTTCTTTGGTCATGGAACAGTGCTACATATCCGTACCTGCTATGGATCCACCTTGCATGTTGGGTTTTATGCATGCATATATTAATGCATCCTTGAGGATATATGTCCTGAGGCGTTCAACATTTGATTTAATGATTACTTTTGTTAATGATGGTTCTATGTGCCGCTACCCTTGATTGAACTAGGATAAGGGCTGATTGTCACACCTGTAAATTAATTATGTGAGCATATGTACTGCTCTTTGGCCAATGTGAACAATGAGGAATGTAAAAGATGTTTTTGGTTATACTGACTCCATTGTTCACAAGAAAAGAATTACGGGGTAATTGGATGTTCTTTCTGTTTCATATCATGGAAAACTCAACTGCTGCTATTCCCAGCCCAGGTACTAGCAAGTTTAAATATTAGATAGCCAAAAGTTCCAAATAATTTCAATGGACACTATATATTCTTTACATTCACAAGGTATGGATATCTGAATTATCTATTTTATTATTCGTCTGTTATGGATGCATATCTTTTTTCAAATGTGTAATAAAGAGATTGGGAGACTGTGATTTAATCCTCCTGTGCATATTCGCCGATAAGATTGTGAATAGCTGCTGTTGGTTTGTGAGCGCACACGCGTCCACGCATACTATCACAATTTTCGGGTTATCTGCGTTTGGGTAAGGCAAGTACCTTCAGATAATTATATTTCATTTCTGCTTCAGACTCACCTGTAGGATTCTTGCAAGTATTCATGTAGCCGATCCTAAAGAATATTCTACTTAATGGAGGATAAAACACTTAAATAGAATTGAATAGCAAACCGGTATTCATGTTGTGGACAGCAAAACTTGGGGATAAAGGTAATGTTGTTTTTGTATACTTGTAAGCAGAATCTGTCGTCTGTATAGGCCCATATATCTCTAGTAGTTTGATATGTTCTAAGTGTAGCCTGGTGTTTCTATTCAGAAACAATCCTATATCTTAAGTGCACTTAACTAGCGTCCATTTGTCATATCAGTTTTTAGCCATTGGAAATGGGCTGGGCATTAGAGAGCAAATAAATAGCTGCAGATTATGAAGTGAAAATGTAGTACTCCAAAAACATAGTCCCATCGTTGGATATTGATGGAGAGATTGAATGGTTTATAATATAAGTACGATGAGTCAAGTGCAATATTGAATAGTCAATTTTGACAGTGGATTAAGCCAAACCACGTGTTGCACTCAGTTGACCCTAGGGCTTACATTATGCCAATAGGCTTGCGGGCCTAGGGTGTGACAGAAAAGACATAATGGGAGGTCATTAACTCGTTAAACAACGGGTACTATACAATGTGTTTAAAGTATATGTATTTGGAGTTTTTTTTAGAGGAGGAAATTCTGGAGCACTCTGTTTTTCTTCAACCATTTGTACGTATGTTACTTTCCAAGAATTATTTTCAAAAGAACGGTAATTTTTTTTCTAGTATCTGATTCTTTTTTAGGATACTATGTGAAATGGTTTTTAATTCTTAGTTAACACATAATTGTGTGCTGTCCATGTTACAACTGATTAGAAGAACATTGGGGACCATTTAGCTAGTAACATTAATTTCTTGATTTCTGTTCGGAATTCAGAAAAACAAGGTATGATAAGTATTAATTTTCTCGGTTAGATTCAAATTACTCAACATTTTGTTTATATTATTTTGGATGTTGGACGCTTTATACTAAGTTTCATATTGGTTGCCTTCAAAGGAACCTTATCTAACTTGCCTCATTGATGGAATCATGTACACATCTCCATTAGTTGGTTTTCTAAACTCGACCAGCTCTGCATTTTTGTTTTATATTTTTTTCTGGGTCTTTTTGATTGTATGTTTAGTTATCATTTGTAGCAAATATCTTGGAAGAAGTTCTATAGATACTCACATTACAGGTTTCTTGCTTCTTAGGGGTACGGGTCAATTATTGAGTTGAACTGACTCGGGTATAGAGAGGATAAAGAAAAAATGTAATTTTTTATTGATTCCTAGTAGAAATTATTGATAAAGATACAGCTACTGATATGGTATTCTAATTGTATGAGTATTTTTTATCTGTTTACGTCCTAGTGGCAATGTTAATATATATATGATGAACAATCACACTTAATTCAGATTGACAATTTTTTTAGGTTAATCCAGTATATAATATTTATTATAATTGTATATGAACGAATCTCTTTGATGGTGTATTTAATCCAGATCATGTTGAAAGTATGGTTGATATTGATTGTCATGCTTGGTCTTGTTGAAGTTCTGGTTACTTGCTTATTGTTTAAAATTTTTGATTTAACTATTCATGTCAGTCTCATATCTCTTAGTTTGGCGCCATGGATCATCGATCCGGTTTAAGTCTTGATTACTGAAAGGTGGTGGTATTTGATTGAGTCAAGCGAACTTAATATGTTTTGTTTTCTTTTGTAAGTTAGATTTTAATCTTATATATCATCTCATTGATCTTAATCCTAAATTGCTCTAATGCAAGTTACTGTAATTGACAACCCCCCCCCCCCCCCCCCCTCCACCCCCGGTATTTTTAACTGATTGATTCAGAAGTGATCTATGTGATATATTTGCACACATCCTTTTCTCTGCTATTTATATGGATGAAAATTTGTCTGATGCTCATGATACGCTTATTTTCTTGGTAAAACGGATACGTTGATTGAAGTTTAACATCAAGATTTGTGGCATCTTAATTCGATGCTATATATCTTGTGACAATCCTATGTGAGATGATCTTCGCGTTGCTTTGTGATATGTCGTGTTTTTTATTGCAGTTCTTTTGCTCCAGTGTCGATACTGCTGTTTGACTGATGAAAACTATTCCTCTTTCTTGGTTGTATGATGAGTTGATATCTATGTGCATAAAGTATGAATTATGCTATTATACCACTCTGCTACTGTTCTTATTGCTTTGGTGAGGGTTTATTGTAGTGAAGGTAGCAACATGACTTTGTTAATCTTTATCGCGGTCAAAATTGAAGCTGTCACGGTGATGGTTGAGACGCAGTTCTTCCATGCATCAATCAATCTCCGAGCTATCCAAGACATTGTGAGGTTATATTTTATAATTAAAACCTGCTCTATTCTGACCATTAATTAATTGCAGGACTCAGCACCCCCAGCATGGTTAGCTTTGCGGTTCCACCAAAAAAAATTTCAAAGACATGCAGGGTCTTTTTGGCTGACATGGCTCGGTGTGCGCGCAGAAGCCAAAACACAACCGATGGGTAGGGGTGTCCAAAAAGCCCGGAGCCTGTGCCCGCCGGTGCCCGGCCCGTGCCCGAGCCCTGTCGTGCCGGGGCCCGGCCCGGAAACCCGGGCAAAACCCGGTCCGGCCCGGGCCGGTGCGCCGTTGACTGAGCCCTGCCGGGCCCGGGCCGGGCCCGGAACAGTGCCAAATTGGGTACTGGGCTTCGAATGGCCGGGCCGGTCACCAAAAGGGACCGTTTTGCCGGCCGGCCGAACGTGTCACTTTCCGTGACCTTTGCTCGGCCGCGGTCAAATCTGGCCTAACGGGTCAAATAAAATTTTTTAAAAAAAATCAAACGGCCCGCCGGTGCCGCCCGCTCAGGCCGCGGGCCCGGCCGCCCGCGTTTGCCGGGCCGGGCCGGGCGGGATGGACACCCTACCGATGGCTTGGTATCTACCGGCCGCCGGGCGGGATGACAGCCCTACGATGGCTTCTGAGATTACCAAATCAAACATATACAGAGAGAAGACTAAACAATGCAAAATAACGACAAACTCAAACAACCAATTTTAACGTGTTCGGCAAGTTGCCTATATCCACGGGGCAAGAAGGGATGAGGTTTTCACTAATAGAGAAGAAAAATACAAACTGATACTACAAAATCACCACGAACTCACCATATTAATCTCACCAACAAAGCTCTAATTCTCTTCAAACAAAACCCTAACAATAGCTCAGAGAAATACCTCTAAATTGGTTCCTTAATATATATAGAATCCTAAACCAAAGCATACTAGGAATTCTAAAACCAAAATCAAAACAGATTAGATAATCCTAATAATAGTTACCAAAACAGATTAGAAATCCCAAAACATGTTAGCCAAAATTAATTAGGAAATATATTAGAAACCTCTATTCACAATTCTCCATATCGTGAGTTTCTTATCAAACTGAGCCGACACCAACCAAAACAAATACTCACATTATGCATCCAGTACGAAGTGAAAAAAACCACGACAACGGGACTCAATGCCACACAAAGTCGAGACCCAAACGAGAATGTGATCATAAATGACATGCCTACGTATCCTCTGTCTAAGGAATCAAACCTGCACGTCTTCACACTAATGGCCTCAAAGACCCTCAATCCATAGAGAGTTCTCAACTCTTCACCAACAAATTTGCGGCTGATATCTCCCCAATGCCCAAAGAAACAAACCAAACACTCCACCTGAGGTGAATCATACGGTCATATCAAAATCCAAACTAGTTCACCAGTGCACTCAATCAACCAACGCATCATCGCATCCAAATCCAATGATCCCCAAACGTGTGCACCTCGAGCTGAATTCCTATATACGATGCAGTATGATCCGGATGTATGTTGAGCTAAATCTTACTGCCAACGTGGAGTAGCATCCACCAGCACGCTGCTGTGAATGCCCAATTGATCTGATCAACACTTCCACTTCGCCGAGAGTCATGAATGTACATATCCTGAGCTCATACAAAAATGCAGAGTTACAAATCATAACGCATGAACGAGGCATTCTGAATCCTAAATGTGCAATCGATCAAATCTCATCATCTTCGATGGATCAATGCGTGGGCAATCCTTAACATCCGCGCATATCCAAAATCTGAAGCAGCTCCACCAGATTTAAAAATCTCCAAACGCATGCAGTTCGACAACTTATGACTAAGATGATCCAAATATGTCGAAGCTCCAAAACTCCTCTGCAACCCAATGTTCGACAACAAACGCCGATCACCTCTAGCAAGATCAACCCATCAAAACTTTGTATATTCTCATCTCGTTCGTCCTAATGTTCCTCTCCAATGAATGTATCCAAAACTGTCGTTGAGCACAATCACAAACGTAAGAATATGACCCTACCAAAAATCAGAACAACAGATCACCTTTCTGTCGAATACACTTCCTCCTCTGTTGTTTAAAGTTAGGACTTCAACAACGAAACTTGTTAGCAAGCCCACCAATAGCTAATAGAACAGTCCTCTAACTGCGATAAACCAAATACCGATTTACTCTCCAAGATGCCTTCCTTAGAAGTCCCATTAATGCCTGAATAAACACCACCTAAATACTTCCTCAATCAATGAGATATAGAGTGCCAAA